TTCCTGCTAAATAGCTCATCCATCATCATCTTATAACATCATAATCAAATCTATTGTTGGTGGTGGTTGCAGACTCGACTTATAGATAAAGAGAAAGTTACTAAACTTAGACTATTTTCAATGTAAATATTAATATCAATTGTATATTTAGCATTAAAAATTATGATATAGTATGTTATTTTTATTTTTGTCTCAATGGATAATACTACTTGAAATGCTAAATTTACTTTTTTCATATAAGCTTGAAAGTTTTAAAAGTAAACTTTTTATTTTTTTTTATCAAGTAAACTTTTATTTTTAAAATAATTAAAAAATACAAAAGTTGCATATAACAAGTAAACCATTTTAACCAATAGTAATCAAATGTTAAATTTTTCATATATTATATTTGATGAGATATTTACCACAAAATATAACATATGAGAAATTTAACACAATAAATAGCATTGTATTAGAGAGTATTTTTTACACTCAAATGTTAAATTTACTGTTAGCACATTAATTATTGCATTACATTGTTAGCACATTAATTATTGCATTATATTGAAGATGCTCTTATTTTAGAGTGCATGAGTCTAAATTTATATTCTTTACTAAATTTACCCTTTTAACTAATATAGTTATTTGATTAAAAAGAGTATTAATCAAGAATAAAAGTTAAAAATTCAAATCAATATACTCTAAAAAGTATTTGTCCCTTTTTCTCGAGATAAATCCCCGCCCACAATCCAGCCTTTGCGGTTGAGGTTTAAAGTTCAAACTTCCCTTTTTAGAAGGTATTTGCACTAAACGCAAAAATCACATCACCTTGAGAAAAATAAAAAGAATCTTAGCAAACCACCTACTTTATTATGAATTGTGGGTGAAACGCCATACGTTCTTATTCAACCAAAATTCTCTAAAACAATACCAAAGTCGGTTTTCTCGTTATTCATAGCATATATATACACACTACCATACCATGTATTCATAGCATATAGATTTACATACAACATACAAATGTACATAAAAACCATTAGAAAACAAGTACAAACATGCATAAACTTGTTCCCACTTCTTCAACCCTGTATCTGAGTGCTTTGATTATACCAGGAGGCGCTTGAGGGATCGGCAGTGGAGATCTGAACACGTAGTACCTCATGAACAGCACCACGATAAAGCACGCCTAGAACCTCTTCTGCCTTAGCCGTTGCAAGATCCGCCAGAGAGACACAGTGAGAATGTGATTCATCCCGCATACGGAAGCCATAGAACCATCTGCCAAGCTTCCACCATCTGATGCACACTTGCCTATCTGAGATCTTGCGATATTGGAGTGCTTGCAATACATACTCGGCCTGCAAATAAACGATGCTCAAAAATCAGGACCACCCCAGAACATCCTCTCTCAGAGGTTGGAGCCCGTTTAGTCCACTGATTCGAATTTAGATGTGATTTTATGTGAAAATTTTTTACTGTAGCAAAAAAATTAAATGTGATTGTTTCTGAGAGCTTTTTACTGTAGTAAAACTTGATTTCTAAATTCAAATCGGTGAAATGAACGGGGTCAAGTTCAAACAAACTGAGAGACCGAGGAACATTAACAGAAAAATTCCATCTTGCTAAAAGTAGAACTAACAGCTCTACTTTAATTGGAATGGACATTATTTATTATTAGGCTAAGTGCCGGGTGCATTTTTTTCAATACCATGAGTTCACAGTGAAGCAAGATAGAATTTAGTTTATAGTTTTCTTATATGTGCACAGGCATAACTGAGTAATAACCACCTTAGCTTCCATTGGTAGGTGCACAGTCCTACTCATACATTATTTCTATGGTTTAATTTTTCTTAGTACAAATTAAGATAACAAAGAAACTGATAATGAAAATCTCAAACACAAAATTTGCTACAAGTACTTGTCAATCGATGTATTATTACGAAATTGAGTCAATTCGAGGCGAAAGACGAAAAGATTAGGACATTACAAAGCTACAAGCATCAAACCAGCAGCAAAATTAGTACATACCGGCACTCCTAGCCAACTAATGCAGTACTGCACACCAACCAAATTAGGGAGAGAATTAAGCTTTGGATTGAAGAGCAACATCTCCACATCTTTAAACCCAAGCTTCATGGCGTCCAAAACTTCAATGGCCTTCAAATAATCCCCAACTTCGAGCGATTCGCATCGCGAAGATTGCTCCACAAACCCCACTGCCTCCATTACTCTGCTCGCCATCTCATTGTGCCTCTCTATGTAAAAATCCCTCCATCCCTATAACACCATTTTCCCCAATTTTTCGGTTTTCAATTTTACCAATAATTGTCTTTTTCTTCTTCTTTTATTTATAAAAAAACGAAAACCTTAATCATCCAATAACCAATAAATCAACATGAACTCAATTGTGCATTTCTTCAATTAGGTCAAGTGATTAAAATTTGAACAAATTCAAAAAAAAAAAAAAAAAAAAAGGTAAAATTGACCTGAAAGAGAGGAATTTCCGTAGCAATAGAAGAAGAAGAAGAAGAAGACGGATTTTCTTCAAGTAAAGCTTGAAAAGGCCATCTTTCTTTAGCGAGAGACTCCCACAAGCAATCGGACTTGCAAAGCTCTCTCCAAAACCTAGAACAACTTCCCAGTGCACACAGATCCGATACCTTTAATTTCCATCGAAAAATTTTTATTAAAAAAAGGGAAAAAAAGCTCTGATAAATTCGCAACGCCATGGAAGAACAAAGAGGAAAAAGGAAACTGAAAATGGAATGGGGAATTTTTCGGAACCTGAAGAGACGAAGCGATTTTGACGGCGATATCGTCGGGAAGCGATTTCTGAATGCACTCCCAATCCACCATTTTCTCCCTCGATTTTCTGTTCTTGGAAAATCCGTTTTGTGTTTCTGCTTCTACAAATAAGTTTCTGGGTTTTCCATATCCAGAAAAAGAACAAGAACAAGAAAAGAAAAGAAAACAAGATTTTAGCCCCCCCAAAAAAGAGAAAAAAAAAAAAAAAAAAAAAAAAAAAAAAAAAAAAAAAAAGAAATGAAGAAATCTCTGATTTTTCTGGATTGGCTACCAATACGAAATGTACAGATGATCTTGACTTTGGCTGATGGAGAAAAACGTTTTCTATAAATATACGACATACCGTTTTGGCCTTTAGAAAAACGACATGTCGGGCTGTTGATTCAGTTTTCTGTCAGCTTTGGTTGAACGGCATGCCACTTTAATGGTTAAACCGTTAACGTTTGTTTGTTGTTTCACTAAAAACGACAGGTCGTATGTTTTCTGGATAATGGACAGTGCTGTTGTTTATTTTAGCAAAATACATATTGTCAGCTTTAAAAATTAAAAAAGATTAAAAAGTTGCAATTTTCTGATGTTCAAAATCCTGATGTCGTTTTCTCAATTAAAAACAAGCCTGATGTCGTTAAAATAAAATGACATGCCGTTTCTAATCACTTGTCTGTTGTCCTTACGGCTGTACCCTTTAGTAGAAAAAGAAAAAAAACAGATTTCCTGTTTTTCTTCTTTTAATTAAAAGAGACGTATTCCTTGTTAAATAGAGGACTGCGAGACGTATTTCATGTTAAAGTATACAGTCCTTTGTTTTAACAAAAGTGACATACTATTTTCCTTTTGAATTTTTCTGTCGTTTAAACCATAGAACACATTACAATGTGCAGCCTTTAAATCGACAAAACGACATATTGTGTTTTGTCTATAAGCTTTGCTGTCGTTAGGCCAAAAACTACTTGCCATTTAAAATGAATACGTTGCTGCCTTTTTAAAAGCATAAAAAATTGCTGCCATTTTATATGATGCCTTGATTTTGGTGTCATTAAACGTTCTTTTCTTTACACAAAATACGACATATCGTTTACTGTTGACATTTTATTTAGAAAGATAATATGTCGTTTATGGAATGTATTTTGTTGTCGTTTTATTGATAAAACAGTTTATTACAAATGACATGGATTTCATGCTTTAGGATCTGTTATCATCCATCGGACCCATGCTGTCGTTTTATTTATTGATCCGTTGTCCTTAACGCAAGAAAACAACATTTCGTTTGTTGAGTTATTCGTTGTCATGAACTAGAAAACTCCATTGAAAATAATGGGCTTGTTCATTTACATTTTTTGAGTTAAGTTGATTTGAGTTTATATCTTAATTTGAGTTAAGGTGTATTTGAGTATGGTTTAAGTTAAAACTCTAATTTGAGTTTGTGTTTGAATGTGCACATTTTAAGTAATGGTTTAAATTGAGAATCTATTTGAGTTTGTATTTGAGATTGTCAAAACTTAAATTTATATTTGAATAATATTTTAATAAAAACTCAATGGTGATAGAAAATTTTAATAGGATATATGAGTGAGGTTTTATTCATCTATTCGTTGTGAATGCATAGAATAAAAAATCATCTCAATCAGAATTAAAACGAAGAAGTTATGGCGTTTTTAAGAATAAAAAAAATATTGTTCATTAATTTGAATTTGAGTTTAGAAACTTGAGTTGAATGAGGAACTTAAACTCAGATTTTAGCCTCAAACTCAAGTTAAAACTCAAGTTCAAACTCAAATTTTACAAAAGAACATAAACTTGAATAAAGTTGTAACTTGAGTTCAAACTTTTTTGAGTTTGGGGGCAAATGAATAAGCCCATAAGATTAGTGGTGCTAAATATCCCCGAATTGTTCTTGTTTATTTACATTTTTTGAGTTAGGGCGACTTGAGTTCATATCTTGATTTGAGTTAAGATGTATTTGAGTATGGTTTGAGTTGAGACTCTAATTTGAGTTTGTGTTTAGATGTGCACATTTTGAGTTATGGTTTAAATTGAGAATCTATATTTGAATTTGTGTTTGAGTTGGTCAAAACTTAAATTTGTATTTATATAGTATTTTAATAAAAACTCAATGGTGATGGAAAATTTTAATAAGGTATATGGGCGGGATTTTATTGGTCTTTTCATTGTGAACGCATAGAAAAAAAATCATCTTAATCAAAATTAAAACGAAAAAGTTATGTCGTTTTTAAGAATAGAAAAAATATTATTCATTAACTTGAGTTTGAGTTTGAGTTTATGAACTTCTGTTGAAGGGGGAACTTGAACTCAGATTTTAATCTCAAATTCAAGTTCAAACTTAAATTTTACAAAAGAATATAAATTTAAATAAAGTTATAACTTGAATTTAATTTTTTTTTTTTTTGAGTTTGAGTGAAAAAACAAACCAAAGTTTACAATCTTATTCCGTTTACTTTTAAATTTTGTTGATGACTGTTGTGTATAAACTTTTTCCCTTGAAAAGTCATGGCAATGACTTTTTGATAATGAGTGGAGGCAGGGTAAAAGTCTTTCCTGCCGATTTGTAATGGAACTTGAAAGAAATAACACTATCAAAATACTTGACAATGTCAAAGTTCATATTGTCCCACTCAAGTATTTGATCCTATTTTCTTTTACTACTTGTTTTTCCTTCTAAGATCTTCAATTTGAAAGGAAATGAAAAACCAATTCAATCTGAAAATAAGTGTTGTTTGCAAAGAAACTCAAAAGTAACAAAGAGCAACATTCAAGAATCAATTGTATTATAAGAATTACAAGACTCTGCATTTTATGATGCTTGGACAGGAGGACATCAATGAAAATAGAAATAAAACATGATTATTTTGCGAAGAGAAACTTACATCATTTCCAAACAATGGCAACAACGGAAAAACATGATTCACAGAAAAAAGCGAGGAAAGCAAGAGAGAAAACTCGGCAAGAAACATTCAACAACAGCGATACACGGCAACAACGGCCGGTCGTCGCGGCGATGGTATGCAAACAGCCATGATAAGAAGAGCTAAGATGATCACTATGAAAAAACCAGACAGATCAATCCCATCGTCGTCGTTTGAGCAGCAAAGTTTCCCCATCTTCAATACTTCAATAGAGGAAAAGCACTCAAAAGTTAAATCTCTGAATGAGAAGTTTTGGGCTAAAGTTTAGCTAGGGAATGAATTTGAGGAATTTGTACATTGTTTTTAACACATTCTAGGTACCAAGTCAAGTTGAGAATATTTTGCTAAGGTTTAAGAAGACGTCTTAGTCACCAAGTCCTTTTTTCATTTTGTTTTTTTTTCTCCCCCAATTGAAGGGTTCAAATTGACGTGTGAACTAAACGACTTTGTCTTGTTTCATGGAGTCAAGAGGTTGTTAGGATTAGTGGAATAATTTTGAGACCTATGCGTTATTTGATAGGAGAGAGAGAAGAGGGAATAGATTAGACGAGAGATTTTAAATCGTTTAAAAAACTTCAATTTTAATCTCTCCTAATACGAAAATTGCATATTAAGGGAGAGGAATCTATGCCAAATACTATAGGGAAAAAGGTTCTCTCTTTTCTCCCTATTTTCCTCTTCTAGCTAGGTAATATAAGTAAATAACTTTTTTTTTTCCTTTTTGTTTTCTTTCCCTTTTACCAAATAAAGCCCGAGAGCTTGTTTGACATAAGAGAAAAAAAAATAGAAGGAAAGAGATTAGACGATTAGTAGAAGGATTTTGGGAGTCAATGTTGTTTAATAGGAGAGAAAAGAGGATAATTATATTAGGTAATGGATTTCAAATCCTTCAAAAAGTCTTAATTTAACATCAACTTAGTAGTAGGAATTGGCAAAGAAAATCCATACCAAACAAGTAATAAGAGAAACCTTTTCACCTTCCTCATGTGCATTATATATATATATATATATATATTATTTCTTTCTATTTTCTTTTATTCTTAAAAAACACAACCTCAATCCCCAGTTTGATAGCCAAAAAATTAGATCTCAAATTTCTGAAATGGGATTTATCAGCCAGATTGATTGGCACCCTTTTTATTGATATTTAGAGAGTTTTAAGGTGTGTTTATCTCATAACTCAAAAATATTATAATAAAAAATTAAATTTAAATTTTTATAAAAAAAATATTATAATAATAGAATGTAAATAGTGATTTAAGTTGTGAAAAGAACCAAATTTTAAATTTGACGATCTTATTTCGTTACTATATCAACCTCTCTACCATAGATATGGGTTGATTTTTTTTTTTTTTTTTTTTTGAAGTTGGTTGTTATTGAAAGTACTTGTTAATTATGATGTTGTGATAATGTACTTGTTGACAGAAAAAACGACAGTGATAATAATGGCCATGAAGACGCATGCAGACAAAACAGTTGCTAACAAGAAAGTGTTTTAATTTTTAATTTAAATTAAAATATGATATTTTTTTAAAAAAAAAAATTATTATAATAAAAAAAATTAAATGTGATATTTTTTTAAAATTTTTTATTGTAAAAATTTAAAATTAAAAACTCAAATCGGTGAAATGAGATCTTGAAAATCTCATATTTCTTGCTTGTGTAGAGGAACGTTAATTGTTAATCCAAAAGAGAACGTGGCAATTCAAATTAACATCTTTTCACTAAAACTCAATTTTGTTAGAGATAGTAACTACATAACTAATTGGAACATTTAGGCCTCGTTCACTTCGCGGATTCGAGTTTTCAATTCGAGCTGAGATGTGACATTTTATGAGAGCTTTTCACTGTAACAGAAAAAGTTAGATGTGACATTTTCTGAGAACTTTTTACTGTAAAAACATAGAATTGAAAACTCAAATCGGTGAAATGAACGAAGCCTTAGTGAGTTTTACTTTTGAACTACTTAAAAGAAATACTCAAATCATAATTTTATTTAAATTTTTTATAAAAGTAAAAAATTATAATAAAATTAATAATTTGAGTTTACATATATGAAATAAACGGCCCTAAATTTCTCAACGAATATGAAATAATTTTGCATCATATTAATAATTCACAATTAATTATACAATTAACGAACATGAAATTAGATAGCTCTGAATATAAAAGGCAAGTACATGAGCATAATTTAAGAATTGAAAGTATGTTTAACAAGAGATTGGAAGCAAAATTAACGAGCTGACATGAAATACTGACTAGTACTGTAGTGCATGTAATCAGAAAATCAGCATTTGCAGCTTACAAATTCTTCATCCCTCTCTTAACGTGTTAAGCTACCTAGAAAGTGTGACACGTTTTCTTTTCTTTTTCTTTTTCTTTCATTTCTTTTTTTTATTTTTTGTATTTTTCAATATTGCTCAAGAAAGAATGGGAGGCACTTTTATTTCATGAAAATAAAGGAGAACTCCGGTTTTGTGATTATGGTTGTGTTTAGAATTTATCTCGTTTTTATTTTCAAGTTTTTTAAAAAGAAAAAATGAAAATGTTTTTAAAATGGTATTTGGCGCAATAAAGACAAAAAATAGAAATAAAAATGATTTTTTGATTTAGTGTAAAATGAGAGAGAAATGAAAAACGACTTTTAGTTGTTTTTTATTTTTTGTTTTCATTTTCTCCTCTCTCCAACAGAAAGAGAGAAAGAGAGACATTAATGAGTTTTTTATACTGAAAATAATCTCTTGATAAAACTACTAAAAGCATTTTCAAAAATAATTTCTATTTGAGATTGAAAACGTTTTCATTTTTATTTTCATATAAAAAATAAAATTATTTTAAAATGAGTTCCAAACGCGCTCTATATTTTGCAAGTCCGCACTAATTTAACATAATTCACTTTAAAAGGTGTAGGTGAAGTGCAAAATTAGTTAAAATATTTGGTTTCTCTTTGTTTAACTATGGTTAAAATTTAACTTTATTTATTTATACTCCAATATATTACACGCCCGCAACATTCGTACGTAAAAAAATTACTAATTTGACACGATTTGCTTTAAAAAGTATGGGAATTCTTTTTTGTTAGTTAATATTTGTTGCATTAGATACACTTATACAAATGACTATTATCATATGATTATAATGTATGATAATCTCTTCAAACATTTGTGTGTGCTTTTAAGTTGTCCTACATTGTATATATAGTTGGGTACTTGAGCAACTAACTGAATATAAAAGTATACCTTCTTTTGTAAAATAGATAGAGACATTTTCAATTGAGAGTTTATCAATCTAGTGTTTAATGGGTCTTCTTTAATTGTATCAAAAAATGAGTTTATTATATTTATTGAGTTTCCTGTTTGCATATAGTGTGTCTAAAGGTGCAAAATCTAGAATAAGTTGTAGAAATAGATACCAATAATGGTGATCAAACAAAGCCAACAACTTTATTGATGAGAAATTTAAATGATGACTTCCTTTAATTGGTGCATGTCATATTAAAGGACACTAAACATTAAGTCAATATCCATATCTTTACTGAGGTCTAAAATATAATTAGAAAGATTTATCAAGATTTTTTTTTTTTTTTTTTTAAAGATAGAGATTAAACTAAAGAATTCATGACCATTTCGATAAAGCTTTTTATAATGTCGAACTATATATTGCACATGTTATTTAGATGGGCTCTAGAAATCTCATTGGAGAAAATAAAAAATGAAAATATGAAAACAAAATCAAATAGAAATGAAAGAGGCTATCGGAGATGAATCTTGACTATTCGCACACTTAACTCTCCTAAATTAGACTTTTAGCCTTTCAATCAGCTAATTTACCTTCTGTAGTATATATAAATTAATCATAATGACATTTTTTCTACATCGTGTGCCTTAGAAAATTCAGAGTGTAACAAGTCAATTAACAACCTTCAATAATTTTGAATTCAACACATGCTTACTTGAGTCCCTCCCGACATAATTAAGTGAGGGACATCAATATGATGTTTGTAAGGACACTCCGACGCTCAATTCAACTTGTTGATTAGGAACCAATAATAGAGAGGCAAAAATTAGATGGAAAATTTATTCCTACCTCAATAAATGTCCATGAAGGTATTTATAGTTTGTTGTTAGATCTCGTACGTACGCATAACTCACTTGGGGTGGTAATTCGTGTCACGTGTCGTGTTCGTGTCGTATTTTGATCGTTTTTTTTTTAAATTTGTAGTCAATCCAAACATGACCCGTGACATGAAATTTTTTAAAAACCGCAACACGAACATGACACGACCACTTTACGAGTTGACACGACACGACCTGAAAATGACCCGTGACACGAAATTGTCCCGTGAATCCGAAATTGACACGAAAATTGTATATTTTTATTTAGTTTTTTACATATTAGAAATAACTTAAAATTCATAACACACTAAATTACAATAACGTCCATTGAAATTAAGCAAATAATAGTATTAGATTTTGAGTATAACTATCATGATATCACAAGTTCATAATAAAATTTAAAATATGAAATGAAAAATATATGTATTTTTTTAGTTTTTTACGAGTTTCGTGTCGTGTTCGAGTTAGGCGGGTCCAATCCGAAATTGACCCGTGTTTTTCGTGTCAATTTCAGGTCAACCCGATTATGACCCGAACATCTTTTTTCTCAACCCTAACCCGCAAAATTCATGTCGTTTTCGAATCGTGTCGTGACCCATATTGCCGGCCCTACTTGGGGCCATGTGTATGGTTGTACTAATCTAACGAGCCCAGGGACAAGTGTCATTCATCCACGAGCTTTTTACTATGTTTATTTAAGGGTGGAGATGATCCCTACTTCTCACTTGTTTGTGTCCCATGATTTTAATTAAGATTTAGTAATATATATATATATATATATATATATATATATATCGTAAAAGTAAGTAAAACATCTCCATAAATGTATATTATATTCAACAGCATGCTCTTAATTTTTTAGTTGAGATGTGACATTTTTTGAAAGTTTTTAACTGTAACAAAAAAAAAATTAAATGTGACATTTTTTTTAGAGTTTTTAACTATAGAAACCTAAAACTAAAAACTCAAATCGATGAAATAAACGAAGCCACCAAACTTGAAAATTTTACAAAAGAATATAAACTTAAATAAAATTATAACTTGAGTTCAAACTGTTTTTGAGTTTTGCTCCAAAAGATCAAAGCCTTGATGATCCAAGTGCAAACAAGGACTTCTTCAACACAATTCTTGAATCCCATCAAACTCAATCATTGTGTATTTTCTGTGTTGGAAACAAATCCTATAACAGTAGAAACAACATCATTGTCTAAAGCATGCTACTTGAGCAAACTTACAATTAGTTAGTCAAATATCAAATATGTCTTCAGTCGTAAAGGTAGATTAGGAACATTGTGCATGATGCAAACATGATTATGCAACGCATCAATTGCTTAAAGCACAAACAAACGTACAAATTGTGGATACCATTTAAATTGAGTAATAAAAAAAAACAGATTTCTCATATAACATGCACTGTTATTTTAGTACACATACAATAATATCCTCATATAAGAGTCCCTCTCGTATTTATGACATTATCGAATTCCAATTTCGGGGTCAACAGTATCAGCACCATGTACACAGTAACAAGTTCGAATCAGCCGCTCAATGTTCAATCAGTTATACAAATCTGAATGTCAGTTCTCTATAAATGTGGAATCATGGAATCCGAAACTCGAATGAGCATTATCAGAACCAACAACCGGAAGCAAGAGACCTTGCAGGCTGTAGCTCCAACTTAGCACAACACTTTCCACCATGAGTGAATTTATTTTCCAACAAATGGGGATAAATGGAGAGTATTTGAAACTTCAAAGGGTCCCAAGGAACTGTGAGAAACTGGGGTATTTGGGCTCCCAGCCGAGTTCCTGACGAGTTTTCGAGTTGTTCAATCTCTTCCCCAAAGGATCATTTCTTCCTGCAAAGAAAATAAAAAGACGAGCATATTAAAACACCGAAACCTTGTATGATGAAAAGAAAGGAGGGAAAGTTGTTACAAGTCCTAAACAAAAGTAGGATAAACAAGCAAAGAACAATCTTCACCATATATAAAAGAGAATTTATTTCTTATGCACTTGTTTCTGCATGACAAATCAGAAAGAACTATTTACCTGTAAATGCTTCGAACTTTTTACTAAATTTTCCACTTTTATTAACCAAGTCCATTACTTCTTGCCTGCAAAGATTTGACAGTGTAATAGAAAGTTCTCTGCAGATGCTAAGAGCACTAGACAAAAGGAATTCTCCAAAATGAAAGTACTAATTCAGTTATAAACTTCTTGTATCAATTGCCATCTAGTAAGAAGAGAGAGAGAGAGAGAGAGAGAGAGAGAGAGAGAGAGAGAGAGAGAGAGAGGGAGGGACCTGGATAAAGGATGATTATCACAGCCCAAGAAAATTCGACCACGTAGTTTCTTTTTCAAGATTGTAACTGAAAGGGAAGCAGCATCCTGTACAAAAGAACACAAGCCAGAACTAACAGTGTCAATTCCAACATAACAATCATCATCACTACACAGGAACGGACTACAACAAACAAAGTAATAGTAGTAGCACCAGTCCAACAACGTTTAAGGAACTACACAAACCACCATACGAAACCCGAACTTGAAATAGATTATGCAATGAAAAGCCAAAAGAAAAAATGCAGGCATCATTCTCGGACAAAATTAAGAGAGAATATTTTAAGCATCAGTTTATTTATTAAAGAATTGTTAATGTTCACAATCTCATCGAATATAGTAATCACAGGTTGGCATAAACATGAGCGCACGGGGATGAAGATCTAACCTCATAATGAATTAGATTCAAAATGTGATCTGGACGACTCTCAACAGTCCCCTTCTCTAACCAATATGTATGTGCACCTCTATCTGCTTTGTGCGTATGGTTAAGGTTACTTCTATATATACATATATACATGTATTTTTTGTATATAGAAAGCAATATGCCAATATCTACCTACATCCCTGAATTTCTCATCTCTTACATGTAATCTTCCAAATTGGATTTCGTAAAGGATATGTAAAGTCCTGCCAATCTAACAACACATCCACCAAACTCAAGAACTACTTTCTCCGCTTTTAGAAGGACATCAGTCCTGGGGCTTCTCCCTATTGGCACCACAGGAGTGTCCTGCAGACAGAACATGAACAGCATGAGATGAGAAAAATTCGTAAATATATCAGATTCAATGTAGAGAATGATAAAACCCCGTGTGACTCGTGATATAAACGAAAAGTCTCTACCAAAAGAGTTGTGTGAATCCTAGATGAAATAGCTACCTCGTCACACTCTCCATTGTCGTTGCAATCATATGGTGCAGAGCTTGAGGTAAACAAGAAAGAACCCTCACCATTCCAGCTCAATGCAGCTTCCCTGGTTTGATCCATACACAACCAACCAACCAACAACACAAGTGCAAAAAAAAAAAAAACAACAACAACGTAAATATGAAAGGACGTCTAAAAGAAAAGCGGAATGTCATGATACCCATCACCTCTAGCCTTATCACTAATTTTTAACCAACAACATAGATACATCAACTCCAAGACTCACAAATTATAACACAGGAATCGACACAAATTTAGGTGACAATATTTGATCAGTTCAAAAGAACCAACGGTGATCAAATCACATATTCACATATCAACTCTAAGACTCGCAAATTATATCAAAGTGCCCTAGACAATCTAATGTAGCAATATATAATTCGTTAAAGAATCGATGACGATAATCACAACTTGAGAATCAAATATGACTAGTGAAGTGATCTATCTTTCTAACAACACAATGATGAACTCTACCTAATCAAATAAGGCTCATACTTAGTTAAAAAGTGAATTAATGGGAGATTAACAATTATTTTTGTGCTTACCTCACATCACCAGCATAGTCCAGGGACCGAGAGGGAGGAGCGCAGAATATGACATAAGAAAACTTGTGGACCATTTCCGTTCCCTTCAAAGACGGGTTAATGCCCACCTCAATCAACTCCTCATGGTGATCAGTTGTCACAGTTTGCCCATGTATTTGACACCCCGGATGCTCCTAATTTCCCCCACAAAAACCCACTAAACCATCAATCATTAAACATCACCAAAATTGCCAAAAACACAAAAACAAAACAATCCCCAAGTTCTCATCCAAATTCACCACACATACCCACTAAACCATTAAACTCTAAACATCACCCAAATTGCCAAAACAAACAGAATAAACCCCCAGTTCTTATACAAAAAATAAAAATAAAAAATAAATCATTAATTACTAAACGTCTCACGAATACCAGAAAAACAAAACAAACCCCAAGTTCTCATCCAATTTCACAACAAAAACAAAACAAAGAAAGAAAGAAGAAAGGCCCACTAGACCATTAATCACTAAACATTACCACATTTGCCAGAAACATAACAATCATCAAATTTCGACAGCCAATCGGGTCAAGAAACGTTACCTCTTTCCATTTATTCGCCACCGAACGACCGAGAACTCCCGGCCCAACAATCAGCAAGCCGTTCTCTCCGACCAAACGGGAAGAAGACACTTTCAGTTCTTCATTCGTCGCACCTTCAAAAACCAACCCAAAAAAATTCACAAAAAAAAAAAAGAAACACATGACTATGGACTTAAAAAAAAAGAAAAATGGGTATGAGAGAGAAAGACCAATTGCAGAAGATGCAGAAACTTTGAGAGGCGTAGTGGACGCCATTGAAGAAGACAAAGCGATGTTGTTGGGAGCGAAATTGTGGGTTTTGAGAAGCGTCTTCTTCTTCTTGTTGTTGCCATGGGGTTGGAAATGACGAAGGAGCCCCTGAATTCTGACGGCGGATGTGAAAGGAACGGTGGTTGTGGTTCCCATCAAGTGGTGTTTTGGTCTTTTCTGCTTCTTCTTCTTTCTTATAATCTTCGTGCAGTTGTAGAGGAGAGTGGGATTTGTTGTGGGCAGAGCAGAGGTGTGGGTGGGTCGTGGGACATGCTATGGAGTATTTCTATATCCAATGAAATGGAGACACGTGGTCATCTGTGTTGCGGCTCCGGCATGGTAAGCTGATCATAGCCGTTGACTTTTCCAAACGGTTTAGTTGGGGGTCCCAGTGTTCAGCTTAGACGACGCCGTTTTGGCTACCACGATCTTTGCAAAAAAAACCTGGCGGAGCTAGGAATGTTTTTCAGGGGCGGGCGTGAGAATCATGCTTGACGCGATTCATTTTCCCGAAAACTTTCGTGATAAGATAGGAAAATAAATGAGAAAATGATACGCTGAAATTTCGGAAATCAATTTAAGTGAGGACTGTCCTAGGCAGTGTTAAATAAGGATCATAAAAAATTATATAATTTATCTTTAAGAATATATAAGTTTAGATTTTTATTTTTTACTCTTGATAAATATTTTTTTGTTAGTATAATTATTTGATTAAAAAGATTATAAATCAAAAGTAAAAAGTAAAAATCCTGACACATGCATTCTCAAAAAATATTTATCAAGATTACCCCAACAATCATGCTAACTTAGAGCTGAAAGTAACCAAATGAGAACTTTGATTTAGCTCGTTATAATAAGATGAAGGTCGGTCTAACTCAATACCTTATAAAGTAAATTTTTAAAAGATAAAAATAAAATAAAACTTCAGGTTAATTCGACCTGAAAAGGAGTTTTGAGTCCAAAATATGGGCTCGATCGACTCTATTCGACCTGGCCCAAACACTTAAGCGGATCGTGTATGAGCCATTAGTAACGAGCTTTCTGCTGCTCCTTTGACTCAGTTAAAATTTACAGCTCTATGCTTATTTAATCATTAGTGGAGATAATGACATATTAAAAAAAATAAAAAAATAAAAACCTCCACATTAACATCGTTGAAAGGGAAAATGTGTCCATTTGCCCTACGGTCATAGTATGTTCACCTACCTTAACTAGTGTTTTTGTAGTCTATTGGAAATTTGGACTTTTGCGTTGAAATTGGATAATGGTGCAGAGCATCTAAATTAAAAAGCTTCCCTAATAACAATTATTGATAAACTAAACAGACAATTTGGTGGTAGTTAATCTTTGTGTAATCCAGTATCTACTCCTAAATATAAAATCAGGTCAGTTTGTGATTGTCGTTGCAGCTTCTGAAGTGATTATGAAAGAATTTGAACAATAATTGGGATTTGATATACCTGATTTTGAATAAATTAAGAATAAAAGCAACTTTTAAAAGTTGTCAGCTGGGTAAAATTTATTCTAAAAATAATTGGTAAATTGTCGGCTTATAAAGTTAGTTAAAGCATAATAAGAATTCTTTAAGAAATATAGTAATATTAAAGTGGTGAATTCTTCTATGAGAAAAAAGGGATCAATGCTATCTTAAGTCTCACCGGCTACAACTTTCGAAATTTAGGTGAAATGAATAGGGGATCAATTGACACTCACTAATAATTTTTATAAGTCTAGCACGTTAAATACACAATTTCGGTCTCGTTTATTTTGCAGATTCAAGTTTTCAATTCGAGCTGAGATGTAACATTTTCTGAGAGCTTTTCACTGTAGCAGAAAAAGTTAGATGTGACATTTTCTAAGAGCTTTTTACTGTAGAAACCTAAAACTAAAAACTCGAATCGGTAAAATGAACGAGGTAGCCATTTCAGAGTGCTAATAGCTGAAAAGAACCGAATCTCCGAATGTAATATTTATTTTGTCTAACTAAGGGTGACAATTCGTGTTAGTAGGTCGTGTTCGTGTCAGCCCGTTTATTAATTGTGTCAGAAAATATTAACCTAAACATGACATGTTTATTAAACGTGTTAAAAATGTCAATTCAAATACGATCCATTTATTAATCGTGTTAATCATGTCAATCCGTATAACCCGTTTAAATTAATATATTGAATAAATAATTAATATAATAATGACTTATTTAACACGGTCAATACATGTTTAACATGTTTATTGGTCAATTTATCCTTTCCTTTAAGAAAAATAATATGTCATGTATACTTTTATGTTATATCACATATCATTAGACTGCAGATGACACATATAGTTAATCGTGTCAATTCATGTTAGAAGGTCAACCTTAATCCAACTTATTTATTAATCGTGTCAACCCAATTATGACTCAAACCCATTTATAGTAAACCCAAACCCGCTAACTTCGTGCGAATTTTAAGTCATATTGTCGTATCGCTACCCGGATTATCATACCTTTTTTAGCGGTAAAAACATGTCACCTCCTAAATCCAATGAATGCCATGTAAAAGGTGAACGTGAAGATATATGTGTGTATATATATAAATATGGATTATTTTCATTGGTGCTCCTTAAATTTTAAAGTCATTTTTAGTTTGTCCCTTAAACTTTAAAAATTTTCACTTTGCCCTATGAACTTTGAATTGTTTTCACTAACTCCTTTTGTTGTAATATCTGTTAAAATCAGACAGAAAAAGAGAAGGTTAAGTGTAGTCACGTGTTTTTAATTTGTTTCTTTTTAAGAAAAATTTAAATAGAAAGACTATGTGACTGCGTTATTCTCTTGTTTTTTATCTAGTTTTAATAAAAATTGCTACAAAGAGGTTAAGTGAAAATAATTCAAAGTCTATGAGACAAAATGAGAGTTTTTAAAGTTTAAGGGACAAATTGATAATGATCCTATATATATATATATATATATATATATATATTATACTGCCTTCCATGCTTGACACACATACTTGATGTTCAATAATAGATGAACCTCATAATGCCATGCAACGCACAATTGCTGCCAATTATCCCTCATGTAGTGCCTTTTCTTTTCTTTTTATCTCTCTTTCTGGTCTTCCTTTGAAAAGAGGGTTCTTCCACTTATTAGCTTGTGTGAATATTTTGTGCTTGACAGACAATACAAGTCTTTTTAGTACGAACGTCGTTTTACCAAACAGAAAAAGGATTTCCTCCAATCAGCTTATGTACAAACCACCACCAACTTCTTGCTGAATTTGAACCATACAAAACATTATTTCCTATTGATTTTCACTCAATTTCTTCTCTATATAGTTTATTAAAGTGATGTCTCTTCCCTAAAGTTTCTCCCAATGTGTATGAGTTTGCAATGGAAAAGTTGACTATTTTTCAGGAAAATGTTTAAGGTCCGTTTAGTTCGTTGATTCGAGTTTTTAATTCGAGTTGAGATGTGATTTTATGTGAGAGTTCTTTACTGTAATAAAAAAATTAAATGTGATTGCTTTTTAGAGTTTTTTACTGTAACAAAACTCGAATCGATGAAATGAATGGAGTTTTTCAATAAAAGTTTAGAGGCAAACTCCAAAGTGATGGCAAATAAAATAAAAGTTTTTCAGATCTCCAAATCTCAGCAGAACAACAAAACCCACTTTGGTTCTGAAATCAATGACCTCAACAAACTGAAAATGGACAAGTAGAATTCCATATCTTTTTTTTTTCCCAAAAATAAACAAAGCAGTAACGACTCATTTTAATTTGTTGTCATTAATTCACTGTTCTTGAGTTGCAAATATAGGATTCTGAATCATGAATTTCAAATTGAAAACTCCCTAGAAAAGGCAGAACATTGCCAAGTATTTTCCAGGTAAGCACATTCATGGAGTCAATAGGAGGTCTTGGTTTATTAATCATAGTGAAGAACGGTAATAACTGTTTTTAGTTGTTGAAATAGTTTTATAACAATTAAATCTATACATATCCACATAAAAAATTTACAGCTCACGATACAAAACTATTCATAATACAAATAGAACTATTGAAAAATTAATTCAACAATAAAAATACAATTTCTAAAGGTAGAGCAAATTAACCTTCTCTATTATAAATGCACCCAAAAAAACAGCAAAATAAATGTTAAAAAATAATCGATTAATGACTAGGAGTGAAAATCGACTAATGACTTGGAGTGTAATTACATTGTCCGGAGCCCACCACACCCTTCTCACCCACCACGCCAATGAGAGATTTTTGCCAATGCGAAAACAAAAAGCAAACAAAAAACCCCACTTGATTAACCATAATGTCTTCTTTTTACCAAAAATTAATTTAAAAAAGTAAAAATAAAAAAAAACCATGTACGGTGACTTCTCTCCACATGGCTATCATCCGTTGGCTAGGTCAAACAAACATTGAGATAAACTTTTATTTAATCATGTTTTTTTCACCGATTCGAGTTTAAAATTTGAATTTTGCTATAGTAAAAAGCTATAAAAAATATCACATCTAATTTTTTTATTACAATAAAAAACTCTCATATAAAGTCACATATTAACTCGAATTAAAAACTCGAATCAACGGACTAAATGAGCTCAAGATACAATAAAAATGTTAAATATATTCACAAATAATACGAGCACATAATATTCGTTGTACGGGCCTGTTTAGTTCGCTAATTTTAATTTTTAATTTGAGTTGAGATGTAATTTGATGTGAAAATATTTTACTATAAAAAAAAATTAAATATAACTATTTATAAAAAATTTTTAATGTAGAAAAACTCGAAATGAGCCCATAAACTCTATTGTGAAACTCACACTACCCACAAGTACATAGCAATTCTTTTGAAGAGTGTATTTGGTTGCGGTAGTTTGGTGAGGTACTTCTCACTCACTCACATAAGAGAGTGTTGGAAAAAAATAAAATAAAATAAAAGGAGTACACAAAGACCAGGAAAAGAAGAAGGAAGATCCACATTCCTTCCCTCCTTTCCTAACATTCTTTTGCCATAAAATCTCCCTCAAGTCCAACTTCAAAAAAAAAAAAAAAAAAAAAAAAAGGTACTGTTTGAACTTTAATAATCCCAAAATCAAGCATATCCCAAAAGAAAAATAACGGAAAGAAAGTTTTATTTTACTGTTTTCTCTTTTGTTTTTTGTTTTTGGCCCTTCCTCTTTTTCTGTATTTTCATTTTGTGTGTTGTTTTTATAGACTGGTGCCCACAATTTGTGGGCATTTGGGGCTAAACTCCAAATCATTGCTCTTCCTTACTTTTGTCTCACAAAAAAAGAAAAAAAAACAAAAAAGCTTTAAAGAGAAGAAGAAGAGAGCCCTTAAAGGCGCCCTCTCTCTCTCTCTACTCTTTCTCTCTCTAGTTTCAATTACGTCTAAAATGTGCATTTGCCTTTCCACATTCCATCAAACCTGACATAATTAGGGTTTCGGCGAGCTCTGCAAGTTGCCGATCGGCGGCGATGGTGTTTGGAGTCTTGGAGAGGGAGAAAACGAATTTCTGAAGCAAAGAATGCGGTGGTGGAGTGCGCGAACGCGATCGCGAGGGGGAATGAGTCAATGAGGAGGCTATTTCCGTTTGGCTGGCGAGAAAATGGGGTGCGTATTCGGGAAAGCCGGGAAACCGGTAGGGAGGAGGGAGGATGGAGAGGTTGTTGCCGAGGTCGCGAAGGAGAAGGCCGAGGGGAGTCAGGTGGCGGCGGTGACTCAGAACGGCGGCGAGAATCGGAAGGAGAATGAGGAAGAGACGGCGGCGGCGAGAGCGAAGCCGCCCAAGGGCGAGAGGAAACGCTCGTCGAGGCCGAATCCGAGGCTGAGCAATCCGCCGAAGCACATCCACGGCGAGCAGGTCGCTGCCGGTTGGCCGTCGTGGCTGTCCGCCGTCGCCGGAGAGGCCATCAATGGCTGGACCCCACGCCGGGCCGACACTTTCGAGAAGCTCGATAAGGTAAGAAAGAAGCTCGCTTTAAATTTCGCCTGATTCTTTTCCTAATTAAGTATAGTTTTGAAGTTCACAAGTTCACCGTGTTTTTGTTTGGTAGGTGAGAAAATGTAGGATCATATAAGGAAAAATGGAATCTTGATTTTTTTTTTTTCTGTTATCAGTTCCTAAAAGCAACCATTAGCTAAAATTAGAAAATTATGGTTTTAGTGTAACTCAATTATTGAGTTTACAAGCTGAAGAATTCCTAGGTTGAGTTAAATGTACTCTCTTCTGTTAATAATATTATTCCCAATTTTCTTTGCCTGTTTATTCTTATTTGGAATATGATTGGCTCGGCTTAGTTTGGTGTTTTATTATCTTAATCAGATTGGGCAAGGTACTTACAGCAACGTGTACAAAGCTAGGGATACGTTAACAGGAAAAATTGTTGCGCTTAAGAAAGTTCGGTTTGATAATTTAGAGCCCGAAAGTGTAAAATTCATGGCGAGAGAGATTCTCATTTTGCGCCGATTGGATCACCCCAATGTTGTAAAATTGGAAGGTTTAGTGACCTCAAGGATGTCATGTAGTCTGTATCTTGTGTTCCAGTATATGGAGCATGATTTGGCTGGACTTGCTGCGAGTCCAGGAATCAAGTTCACGGAATCTCAGGTATTGTGAAAGTTATTGTTCTCACTTCAATTTGTGAATCTATGATGTTGATACATTGAGTTAATTTTTCGTCTGATGATTAAACTGGCCTGTCATTTTCTCAGTCTTCACAATATATATGGATGCACAGGTCAAATGCTATATGCACCAGCTATTATCAGGGCTTGAGCACTGTCACAACCGTCATGTGTTGCATCGTGATATTAAAGGGTCGAATCTTCTTATTGACAATGGCGGAGTCCTAAAGATTGCTGATTTTGGTTTGGCTTCCCTTTTTGATCCTAACAATAGGCAGCCCATGACAAGTAGGGTTGTTACTTTGTGGTATAGACCCCCAGAGCTTCTTCTTGGTGCCACTGATTATGGTGTTGGTGTGGATTTATGGAGTGCTGGCTGTATTTTAGCCGAGTTGTTGGCAGGAAAGCCTATCATGCCCGGTCGAACAGAAGTGAGTTTTAAATGTCTCCTTTTATACACAGCAAGTTCGTTCATGGTACTGCATTGTCACTTGTAATGCCAGCCTGTCTGGTGCTGTGGTTTTATGAGTTTATCATAATTATTTGTGTTAGATTGAAAATGCTGTTATTTTTTTTGCTAATTTTAGTCTCTTTGATCAGGTGGAGCAGCTGCACAAGATATTTAAGTTATGTGGTTCTCCTTCTGAGGAATATTGGAAAAAATCAAAGTTGCCACACGCAACTATATTTAAGCCCCAACAGGCATACAAACGTTGTATTGTAGAGACATTCAAAGATTTTCCACCATCATCATTGCCTCTCATTGAGACCCTTCTTGCAATTGATCCAGCAGAACGGCAGACTGCCACTGCTGCATTGGGGAGCGAAGTGAGACTTAGATTTATCTTCTGAGTTGTCTTTCTCTGTTGTAGTCCTTTCTCTTGACTCTTGAACGGTCTGCTGTCTTTGTTGTACTATTGAAATGGGGAACTTCTGAATTTCCTAAATTTTATGTGCTTTTTTATCTTTTGCAGTTTTTTACAACAAAACCTTATGCTTGTGAGCCTTCTAGCCTTCCGAAATATCCTCCCAGCAAGGAGATGGATGCTAAGCTACGAGATGAAGAAGCGAGAAGGTGACTACTCTGTGTGTGTGTGTGTTTCATTGTCCATCTTATATCAATATGTTTATTTTTAGTGAAATCCGTAAACAGGATGAACATATAACCTTTATACTCTGTATAAATACAGAATTATCTGCATTAGCATTTCATTTAATACTGGTATATCCCGAGGAGGTTGACAATTTCCAAATGTGACTTGGTATTGCTGTTTCTTATTTTGGTCCCATTTTATTGTTGCTTTGTGATCTTTCATCTGAAACTTATTAAGATGATTTCTTGGACTGTTGATCCTTATATTTCTTTTTTCTTTGCCATTTAGAAAACTTACTAAATCTCTATAATTTAACAATGAATCGCTTCAGAAAATACCTTGTCTGAGACTAACCTAATCATTTTCATGACTAATACAGATTGAGAGCTGCTGGCAAAGCTAATGCAGATGGTGTGAAGAAATCTCGTGCGCGTGACCGAGCTGTTAGGGCAATGCCTGCTCCAGAAGCCAACGCTGAGCTTCAAGCTAATCTGGATGTATGATAAACATAAGATACTCCTTTTAGAAAATATCATCTTTTTCATAGACTTTTCACCTTTCATAGATTTAAACTAACAACATGGATTTAGTTTGATTGTTTTACCATAATTAAGGTTTTTTTTTGTTGTCATTGTTATTGTTATTATTATTATCTGCAATTGCCTCATTTTTCATCATGCTTATATATTAACTTCCTACATCCATTTCTCTACCTTATTGTGTATAGTTTCACTACTTAGACCAGCCGTCTTACTTTGAGTTAAGCAATCTTGATAACCGTGTTCTGCGTTTGTTTCTACTACAGAGGCGGCGCCTAATAACGCACGCAAATGCAAAGAGCAAAAGCGAGAAGTTTCCTCCGCCGCACCAAGATGGAACACTTGGCTATCCCTTGGGTTCTTCACACCACATTGATCCTGTTTTTGATCCCCCAGATGTTCCATTCAGCTCCACCAACTTCTCATATTCGAAAGCACCCATCCAAACTTGGTCTGGCCCATTGGTGGACCCTGCTGCGGTTGGGGCTCCGAGGAGAAAGAAACACACAGCGGGCGATAGTCATTCACAGTCAAAATCATCAAAAAAAGACTCAAAAAGATAAGGATTTTGCATATGGATCAAAGGAGAAAGATGGGGGTAAATAAATTCTGTGATTTTTGTGAGACTATTCATGAGGCTGCAAATGCTGCTTATTACTGTCTTAAAACCGAGCCGGGAAATCCAGTTAAATTGCATGGAGAGGTAATATAAATTGTAATTCAGTTTCTCATTTCTTCTATTATTATTTTTGTACCGCGAGAAGTTTTTTTTACATATGTATATTTTTTATTAGTTCTCCTTGTGTTAAAAGGACTCTATTATGTCTAGGTTAGTTGAATTTTTAATAAATTTGTTTCGGGAACTTTTATGTTCAGTTTCATCTTTACCTTCTTTTTATGCATATTATGTAGCCATCTTGTCCGGGCTCATGAAGTATTGTCGAATTCTTGTCATATGGAGGCTGAGGTTTATTTATTTATTATTTATTTATTTTTTAAACATGTATGACGACTATATGAGCTCATCCAATCTATCTTGTCGCATGTTAACTAATTTTTTGGATGCTACAATGACAATGTTGTGTCCCACAATGACTCGTGGATTCGTCTATGGGATGACATTGGATTTTTGTTTGTATCCTTTAATTTAATTTTGCTTGGGATTATAATTATTCTAGGAACTGATTTCTGCAAACCTAATTTGATGAGTACGTATCACTGGCCTTCGCTAATTTTAGAGTTTAATCGCATAACTAATGGTATTTTGAGGAAGAAGTTATGTTTTCTTTTTCCTCAAAAAAAAAAAAAAAACCAAAAGTGAGAGCCAAACTATTCAAAGTGTAGCTATAACTAAAGAAGAGTAGGTAGATGAAGAGCAGTTGCGGAGTTTTGACAGTCAGATACTGGCGAAATCATGTAGAAGTAGAACCTTGTAGATTTAGCCCCCCAAAAAATAAATAAATAAATAAATAAATAAAAGAACCTTGCGCAAATCCCACTTTCTTGGTTTATGCTTGCTTCATGTTTAACCACAGAGACTATCACAACTACCACTTATAGGCTATAAATGGGCTCTCATTGTTTATCAGCCTCTATATTGCACTTCATTGTTTATCAGCCTCTCTAAAAGCTAGTTCTCTCTCTCTCTAAATGAGGCCGCCTCCTATTGGCGGAATCGGTGGAGGACCGCCTCTAAATGGAAGACCCGGTGACCTTTTCGGTGGCTTGTGCAACACCATATCTTCCTGGTTTGTGTAAAGAGTCTCCTCATTTGTATTTCTTAATTTTAAATTCATCACAAAGGACAAAGTAGTGAGTTTTCATTTTTCGGTCATAAGGATTTAGTGCAAGTTGATAAAGTGGGTTGCTTTGCTTTATGTTAGTTTCATATTTTCCTAGATATCATAACAAAGCAAACGTGAAGAATTGGTGACTTGAGCAGTATTATTAACGGAAATTTTTTGGTTGACGGGTCAAGTGTTTGAAGATACTTTTGAAGTGCATGCTAAGCAAAGCAAGCATGGGGATTTGCAAAAGAATCGAAATCTAAAATGGGATCACAAAAGGATAAAAAAAACAAAAAAAAAGTTGAGGCATCTAGAGATATGAGCTTCTCTTTCTTTCTCTATCTCTCTCTCTGTTTTTTTTTTTTTTTTAATAAAATATATGAAATATGAGATTTACTCCCTAGATTTATGTATTTTAGTCATTATTTTCTCTTCTTATATATTAACTTAAATTAAAAGTGCAGAAGTGGCACATACTAGAAACTAAAAAGGCGAATCAAAGATGTATTTCTCTAATTTTTTTTTCTTCACCCAAATAATAATTAAAACTTTTTTCTACATTCATGGCAGCGTCTACTTCTTGTGCTGTTGCTTGTTGCTACGAGACTGCTTTGGCGGTCCTCCTGGGCCGCCTGAAGGCCCACCGGTTCCTCCTCCTGCACCAGTTGGGCCTCCTCCTCTACCTGGCCCACCTGAACTACCTCCTCCTGGGCCGCGTGAACCTCCAGGAAGTCAACTGGATCCTCCTGGGCCGCCTGGACCTCCTGGAGGCCCACCACAATGTTGACGTCCAGCGGCTTTTCATCAAAAAGCAGTTTCCTAGAGATATTTATACATAGCCAAATCTGCTACGTTTTGAATGCTGAAAATATCTTATCCAATAAACAATAAGAGTCGGAAATTTTCTTTTATTTAAAAAAAAAAAAGGCTTATATGATAAGAAGTAATAAACTTTTTTTTTTCTTGTGTTGCTTGATGAAATAAATTAAAACTTTAAAACATTTTCTTATGTTCATTCATTGTCCCTTTACAAGTAATCTGATTTTTTTTTTCCCCCTGAGCAAATAGGAAAACAGGAAATATACTACAAGCATTCATGATAATGCGTGAGAGATTAGTATAATGCTATTAAGGAAATAAATCTTTAAATGCAATGAGTATGTTTTTTCATCCAAACATAGAAACGTTTCCTTCATAAATTTGCGTAGCAATATCCAATCAATCCAAAATTTAAAATACCAAAAAAATCCTCCAGCAAGGAAAAAAAAAAAAAAAAGAAAGCGCTAATAATGGAGATGAATAGAAGACAGTGAGAAGGGCCCTACGAATACGATGATCAAAATGGGAGGGGATAATGACAGGTGTATGATAGTGATGGTAAGAACATAAATATAAAAAAAAGTCTTAATTTAGGGCCCGTTTAATTTATTAATTTAAATTAAGATGTAATTTTATATTAAAATTTTTTATTATAATAAAAAAATTAAATATAATTATTTTTAAAATTTTTTACTGTAATAAAATTTATATTTTAAACGATAAAATTAAGGTAACCTTATCATTATAACCAACCATGATTACAATATAAGGAGATCCCACATTCCCACTTTCCAGTCGCCCCAACTTTGTTGTTTGTTTTAATCAATCAAGCTGTACTGCACACAGATATGACATGTCGAAACATGTCCAAAACCTGTCAAATAATGGAGGAAAAAAATATTCGGACTTAATAGATTAGGAAGCTTATCTGATAGGATCTACAGTTTTCTATTTTTAAATTTTAGCTGTTAAATTTGTATATAAATTGTATGTTTTTTTATATGTTTTTTAATTTAATGTAATTTTAACATGATATCACGATTTAAAAATTGAGATTATCAGTAGATTAGATCTATCATAGAAACTCTCAATCAATTATGTAAAGTCTCATTTATTTTATCAATTTAAATTTTTAATTTTAATTTTGTTACAGTTAAAAGTTTTCATAAAAAGTCACATCTAATTTTTTTACTATAGTGAAAAGCTCTCACATAAAATCACATCTCAATTTGAATTGAAAATTTGAATCTGCGAATTGAATGAGACCAAATGCCAAATGTGTTTGAAATGAATAAATAAATAACCTCAACTAGGGTTGATTCTCACTGTTCTTTTTACCTTTTTCTGGCTTGTAATATTCTTTTACTGCTTGGATTGCGTAAACAAAAAAGATGGGAAACCATCTAAGGAAAGGAAAGAATACAGTTAATGATAAGGAATATTCTTCTTTGACAACTGACAACTCACAAATTCGCTTGTCCAATGAACATTTTTAGTCATGCGAAAAATAACAAAAAAATGCCATACGTAACACTGAAATGTCATAGAATGTAATTAAGCGAAAAAGACCCTAACAAGGACTAATAATATAAGTTATATTAATATACTTTTGAGTTGGACCAATTGTCCATTGTATGAAGGGGAAGAGATTGGTTTGTGTTATGAAAATTAAGAAAATGTAAAATTAAGAAGAAAACTTTAGAGAGAAAAATTAGAGAGAGAATTTCATTAATCTTATGAAAGTGTATCAAATGAAGAGCCTCAGAGTTTTATTAAGAAAATTATTGACACTATTCACGATTATTATTTACACAGTACTTATTATTTACTATTACTATTTGTACTGTACTTACTATTTACTGTTACTATTTACATAATACTTATTATATATTGTTACTATTTGCACAGTAAGATTTTGACATGAATAGTAATTTTGACTAATGTGTATAGTAACTTTGACTGAGGTGGATAGCTACTATTCATAACACTCATTCTTAGGTGTCCACTATTCATAATGCCTTATTAAAAATCTTGTTAGGAAAAATTCAGTGGGATAAAAACCATAGCAAAAGGAAAAAGAGTACATCATGTATCTATACGTGTTTATATTGTCTCGTTAAAAATCTTATCAGAAAAACTCAGTGGGACAAAACTACAATAAGAAAAAAAGAGTACAACCACGTAAACTTCCTCTAAAGTTGACATGTATAGTCATTCTTCATAAATCTCGCAGATAACACATCCTGATACTGTGGAAATGCTTTCTGAACATTATAGTGGGAAGTGCCTTTGTGAAAAGATCTAATGTATTGTCACTTGATCAAATATATTGGATGTTAATATCGTTATTCTTTTCAAGCTCTTTGGAAAATGAGAAAAACTTCGAGGGTATGTGTTTTGATCTGTCGCTCTTGATGTATCATTCCTTTATTTGAGCGACGTATGCAGCATTGTTTTCGAATAATATTGTTGGATCTTTATTGATAGATATCCCATAAGGTGCTTAGATGTGTTGAGTCATGGACCTTAGCCATACACATTCTCGATTTCCTTCATGGAGTGTAATAACTTCAGCATGATTTGAAGAAGTGGCAATGAGTGTCTGCTTCTGTGAGCGCCAATAGATAGCAGTTTCTCCACATGTGAACACATATCCAGTTTGAGATCTGGTTTTTGTTGTCCCGAATAAGGCTACCCAAGAGGGGGGTGAATTGGGTTTTGAATATTTTTCGAGAGTTTATACGATTATTCGAAGATTAAAACTAAATATAGACAATTTATAGAACAAGGTACTTTTATCAAACACTTGGTGTACAGAAAATTATGTAAGTTAATGCAATAGCACAACCACTTGATGTACACAGGGTGGACCAATCTAATATCATAAAAAGAGTTCAATAAACTTATCACGACGAGTTAAAACAATCAATGTCAGCAATCAAATTTAAAGTGCGGAAATTAAAGAGATAGAGTTAGAGAGATGCAAACGAGATTATAGTGGTTCAACAAATAAATTTGCCTACATCCACTGTCGCTGAGATATTCCGCCTCTCGACCTCTTTCACTATTTGATCGACTTTCCGGTACGATCACTCCTCTTACAAGAAGGCGAATCTTTCTACCCGAGGCTTCGCCTAACCTCTTACACAATGTCGATTTTCTACGGAGATCGACCAACCAAGTAACCCAATACCAAAGTAATGATTATGAGTAATGAAGCACTTAGTTTTACTCTCCTAACAATGGTTTTACACAAT